GTGGGTTTAGCCTCCGCTGGTGTTCAATGCTTGGGTTGCAGTCCTCCTCAAGATGAATCTTGTGGGTGCATATACCCGGAGGTATTCCAACTATATCAGCAATGGTCAACCCAATGGCCTTTTTGTACTTTATCAACACTTTGATCACCTCCTGCACCTGTTCTTCATTTATATCTGGAGCCAAGATCACAGGTAAAGTGTTATTAGTACCCAAAAATACATACCTAAGGTGACTGGGTAACTGTTTCAGTTCCAGCACCGGTGGCTCCTCGATGGATAGTTTTGCTGGGGGTTTGGCCTATTTTTCAAGTCCAGGTCCAATTTCTTTGGAGCATACGAGTGTGCTCCCATACCCTGCAAAGCATTCACAGTCTCTATGTAGTCAGACCGAAAATCAGCATCAAAGTTCATCAACACTGGGTCCAGGTCCAATTTCTTTGGAGCATACGAGTGTGCTGCCATACCCTGCTAAGCATTCACGGTCTCTATATAGTCAGATCAGAATTCAACATCAAAGTTCATCAGCACTGCAACTAAGGTTTCAACAGTCATCCTCTCTTCTATGGGTACCCTCATGTCTTCATCAGCAACCACCTCTATTACAGATACCACATTCATATCATTGGGTTGCTTCATTGACCTGCAATTATTGAACTTTACCTCATCCTTGTTGAGTCTGAACTTCAACTCTTCTCTTTCAACATCCACCAAAGCTCTTCTTGTGGCCAAAAAGGGTCTTCCCAAAATGATGGAAACCTCAAAGTCCACTTCGCAATCCAAGATCACGAAATTAGCTGAAAAGATGAAGGTGTCCACCTTTACAAGTACATCACAGAGGACTCTTACTGGCCACTTAACTGACCTATCAGCCATCATCAACCTCATTGATGTGGGTCTTGGAACTCCTAATCCCAATTTCTTGTAGATGGATAATGGCATCAGGTTGATGTTAGCTCCTAGATCACACAAAGCTTTTGCAAACTTAATTGACCCAATGGTGCATGGGATAGTGAATGCACCTGGATATTCTTTTTTCTGAACCATAGATCTAGTAGCAATGTCACTGCAATAATGAACATCGTTAGTAAAATCAAGACTTACAACTCTCTTTTTTGTAACCAAGTCCTTCATGAACTTGGCATATCCTGACATCTGTTCCAGGGCTTCCACCAATGGTATGTTTACTGAAAGTTGCTTCAACATAGTGATGAACTTTGTAAACGTCCCATCTTCAACTTTCTTTTTTAGCCTTTGAGGGAAATGAGGAGGTGGTCTGGGAATCTGCTGTAAAGGCAGGTTTTCCTCGACCTCTTTCTCTTTTCCTCTCATAGGTTGTGCTTTAGGCTGAGGATCCTCCAAATCATCTACATGTTCAGCTTCATCCTCCTCTTTGCCAGCTTGCTTCAGACCTGTTCATGTTTGGTACCTGCAGAATAGGGTCGGTAAGAACTTTACCACTCCTGGTGGCGATGGCCATGCAGTACACGTCCTTCTTAGGATTTTGGATGGTGTCACTTGGTAATAACCCATTCTTCCTTTGGTTCAGTTAGGCTGAGAGTTACTCCAACTGCTACTCAATTTGTTTAATGGAGGTGGTGTGAGAGTCCACCAACTAACTCATACTCGAGAAACCACCTCTCATTTCTTTTACCCCTGCATCAGTTGATTCAACTTTCTGGAGTACCTTAGCCATCATGTCTTCCAACTTAGACGCTGGAACTACCATTTGCCCTGCGTCTATTGCCTGGGGGAACATAAACACCAGGGCGATCATTCCTATACCCATCTTTGTTTTTCCAGTTTCCCTGATCTCTATTTGCTTGCCTATCATACTGACCATCCCTCACATAGTTTCGACCTGCGTTTCCAGAAATGTAACCCTGATTTCCAGAGTTATAATTCCGAAAACCCCCTTGGTTCCCCAAGTAGTTAGCTTCCTCATCAAGGTCAATATCTTGATCCTCATACCTATTTTGTTGTCCCACATCATTCACCTTTTCAGACTTGGTGACAATGTGCTTTGTGAGCAGATCTATTTGTGTCCTCATATGTGCCATGTTTTGGTCCCTTTCTTCTTCTCTCTTCCTCTGTTCAGCTGAAAGCTCAAATGTATAACCAAGCTCTCCTACCTCGGCATCTCTAGTGTACCATGCCCTGTTGTTCTTTGAGGCCTCATCCAATAGCTGCATGTTTTCCGAGAATGACTTCCTCATAAACGAGCCTCCACAAACTGCATCAACAACATGTTTAGTAACATAATTCAGAGACTTATAAAAAGCCTATTTCAGATGCATTTCGGTAAGATCATGGTTGGGGTATTACTTCAGCTTTTGGCTGAACCTCCACTAAGTATCATGTATTGCCTTTCCTGGTAGTTGCTTGTGTGTACTAATCTAGCCTTTTATCTGCAACTTTTTTGATTCTGGAAAGAATCGTTCCAGGAAAGCCTCCTTCAGCTCTATCTATGTTCTGATGGAGTCATCTGGCATCTCATTCAACTAGTTTGTTGCCTCGCCCATAAGGGACAGTGGGAACAACCTCAATCTCATCGCAGTTTGATTAACTCAAGGAATTTCTTGTGATTTGCAGATTGCCACAAAATTCATCAAGTGTTGATTTGCATCATCACTAGTTGCACCCCTAAACATACCTTTCAGGTTTATCAGCTGTATCATAGTTCTGGTGATGGTGAACTTAAAACCTGGAGGTAGTGCAGGTAACACTATGGCTCCAGTGGCTCCAGCTCCATCCAAGTCTGCATCATCTTCTTCATACATCATGTGAGTTGGATGCTGAGCTCTACCCCTTGGGGCTATTGGTTGGCGTTGGGGAGGGACTAATCCTTCCATCCCTCTGTTATCATCAACTGCCCTTGGTTGATTGATTCCATCATTTTGCTGGGCACCTGGCCTACGTTAATTGATTCCAACAGTTTGCTAGACATTCCTTGCAGCATCAATTTCAGCTTCTAATCCCAGTATGTGCCTCTAGTTCTTGTGCATTAACCATCTTTCAAATAGTTTTCTGAAATTCAGGGTCGTAAGGAAGCAATGGGGCTCCTTTACTTCTAGTGTTGGGCATGCACATTCGAACTAACCTGAAAGAGACACAAACACAGAACAATACTTAAAATTAAGAAATATAACTACAAATCAAATAAAAGCTAGTAAAACACTTCTGAATTGAAATTCCCCGGCAGCGGGGCCAAAATTTGATACGTCCAAACTTACACTTCAAATAAGAAGTGAAAATGGCCGATGTCAATTTATAGAACTCAACTATAGTTGAGGTCGATCCCACAGAGAATTTCTTTACAGATAGGGTTTCAATGTCGCATTTATTTGAATGTTGTTATTATCTCCTAAAATAATAACAACGGAAAGTAAATTGCGTTTGGTTCAAATGTTATAATTACAAAAACTTACGGTCAAAATCCAAATTCATGAGTAACAGACAATTTCGTTGAAAGATTGATTCAGTTAATTAAGAGAAACCAGTTTTGTGTTCACCCCAACATTAGTTCTAGTGTTCTTCCGTAATTGAGCATCAGGCAAATCAATGTTTACAGAATCATTGCGAATTAAATTTATCTAACACTTCTCAGCCAAATCAGATGATTATCACTCATGTTCTCTTGACCTTAAAGTGTTACTAACCTTGACCCTCGCTTAAAATGATATGGTATTAAAGATATTTTCTCTCGAACTCAAATTTTAACTCCAATTTGTTAATTTAGTTCATCTTTTTCCTAACTGGTAATTTTCACTCGAACAAATACCAGATACAGGCTCATATAATACGTGCACTCACTAGAGTATAATGATATCGAAACCTAAAACTACAGATTGTAAACACAGACTGCCCTTTACTCGTTTTACGGAATCGTAACTAGAATTTCGTCATGGATCCCACAACCCCAGTCCTGGTATTGAACCACTCATGCTTTCACGAGAACAATCAGTAATGAAGAATGAAAACATGTTAAGAAAGACTTACGAAAATAATTAGCTAATCAACAATCACTTCGATAATCTGATAATCTGAATTCGAACTTCAAATTGATAACAATAGTCGAAAATCCAAAATCAAAAGCTAAGAGTAACGCTGTATTTCTTAGTCGTAAAACGTAAGATAATGAATAATAATTCAAAAACGACCTAAAGTAATTCAAAATAGAATGTTTAAAATGAGTCCTAATCGAACTAGGACTGAATTGTCCAGCCTTTCCATGGCCACTACCACGACCTGTCAAGGGCTTCACGGTCACTGAAAATTGCATCACGGACGAGACCACATATCGTCATAGGGGCCACGGCCCGTGAGGACGTCTGTGGTCTTTACTTGGACTTTCCTAAACTTTGAGTCTTCAATGCCATCCACTAAAACAAGGACTACAGACTGCAACACGGTTCGTAGTGAGGACCATGGCCCGTGATGGCGTCCGTGGTCTTCACTTGGTTCCGACATTCTTTCAACTCTTCCTTGCTTTCACACTGGTTCAACTTCACGGCTGGTACCACGGTCCGTAGTGAGGACTATGGCCCGTAGAACCTTCTGTGGTCTTCACTTGGTTATTCATGCTCTTCACTTCGCAAGGCCCATCACTGCCTCACTTTCACGAGCTTAACCACGTACCACAATGAAGGTCACGGTCCGTGAAGTTGACCGTGAACTTTACTTTGAATCATCATCATTTTGCAACTTCTTTATCCATTTTCAACACAAACCAAATTATGCCTACACATTCAACAAACCCATCAAATAATACAAAATTTCACTTAATTCCAGTATTTGTTCATAGTAATTAAGCATCAAATGTGCCACGATTTCTTGGCACATCAACACCGGACTATGCCCTCATTTACCATGAAATGGCAGTTCTCCCAATTTAGCACTAGGTTGGCTTCCTCACATCTCTGTATGCCCTGCTAAGATTCAAAAAACAATCATTAAAAGTATCACCTACTGCAGAGAAATCGTCCATAAATACCTTTAGAGTGTCCTCAACCATATCTGAGAAAATGGACATCATACACCTTTGAAATATTGTTGGTGTATTACACAGTCCAAATGGCATGCATTTAAACGCAAAGGTGCCATAGGGACTTGTGAAAGTTGTCTTTTCCTGATCTTCAGGAGCAATTGATATCTGGTTGTAGCCAGAGTATCCATCTAAGAAACAATACCACCCTTTACCTGCCAACCTATCAAGCATCTGGTCCATGAAAGGCATGGGGAAATGGTCCCTCAAAGCCCACTTGTTGAGCTTTCTGTAGTCCATACACACTCACCATCGAGTGACTGGTCTTTGTGGGACTAATTCATTCTTGGCATTTGTCACCACAATCATACCACCCTTTTTGGGCACACATTGCACTGGACTGACCTAGTGACTATCAGAAATGGGATAGACCACCCCAACATCTAACCACTTGATTATGTCTTTCTTAACCACCTCTTGCATATGTGGGTTTAGCCTCCGCTGGTGTTCAATGCTTGGGTTGCAGTCCTCCTCAAGATGAATCTTGTGGGTGCATATACCCGGAGGTATTCCAACTATATCAGCAATGGTCAACCCAATGGCCTTTTTGTACTTTATCAACACTTTGATCACCTCCTGCACCTGTTCTTCATTTATATCTGGAGCCAAGATCACAGGTAAAGTGTTATTAGTACCCAAAAATACATACCTAAGGTGACTGGGTAACTGTTTCAGTTCCAGCACCGGTGGCTCCTCGATGGATAGTTTTGCTGGGGGTTTGGCCTATTTTTCAAGTCCAGGTCCAATTTCTTTGGAGCATACGAGTGTGCTCCCATACCCTGCAAAGCATTCAC